TTACATAGGAAACGAATTTTTATCTGAATGACGTGAAACATCAAACTTTTTTAAAATCCCCAAACTAAAATAATTATCGCATTAAGTAACTAATGATGCAGCTTTCTTCCGTTCGGCCACAGAGGACGAGCTGTGTACAGGTGTTTCATGCTTACTGGGAATCATCAGCACGATCTAGGCTCGGTCTCTAAGAAGGACAACAAACGCAAATTATCCAGTATCGGAAGTACAAGGCATGTCCAAATCGTTAACATAAATGCCATCTGTTACCAGAATGTATCACTTCGAGAATGAACACCAGATATCTTTTGGAACTGTAAAGGTGTCTCAGTTCGCGTTGATATCCAGGTAATCAATGTGACTGCTTGATACCGCCGGCTCTGGCGATACAGTAGACTAATAATGTTGCTTTCGTCACTCTCGCAGTGGTCGATTCTGGTAAGAGATGGTACTTGCTGTCATATATCGATAGACCTTATACCTCAGATAGACGATACTTTGCTCTGCTTCCAGGTCTTCATTTTCACTCTTCAAACGCTGCAAGCGTCAACCAAAACGACCTTACTTTTAGCCATGAACTATACACAAAAACGCCTGAGAGGATTATTAAAGGGCGACTGACGGCAGGTACGGGCAGATTTATCACGTAACAGGTCCACCGTGCACCAAAAACGCGAACTGGTCATTATTCTCCGTTACTGCTTGTGCAGATAGCACAGTCGACAGGTTGTTTTAGCACAAAAGATAAACTGGGGACACTTATACTAAATTCAAGAGAAAAGGCACGGTTCATCCTCGTATCGCTGCAACACATCAAAATGTACGAAGAAGAATACAAATGGTCGAAAAATGCTTATTTATCCTTCCTAAAAATTAACAGAATAATTCCAGTCTTCTTCCCTTGAAAACGACACAAATGATGCACTATATTGCTATAACCCCATCATTCAGAAAGTCTCCATAAAGTTTTTTGATTACCCGTCGTAAAGCTTACAAAAACAAACTTTGGTACGATATGAAAGCTACTTTAATTTTTACCCATAACACTGCTGCCATATAAACGATTTTCAAAAATGAAGTACCATTACCTACTATGACCCAACATAGCAAAACAAAAAACATTTTTCTGAATTTCTAAAATTTTCGCATTCACAGTACTACCCCCCCCCCCCTGCCACAAAAAACTCGGCTACCCCTCGCTCTTCAAAAAGTTTTGGGGGTAGGTACACTTTTACAGAAAAGTATCTCTTGAGATTCGCCATAGTTGGATGATCCCCCACCTACAAATTGTGATGGGGCCCCTGAGGAGCAAACTACGCCTCTGAACTTGTCCTGTGATATGATGGAAAAAAGTTCGGATATTTGCTTAGGGCTAAGAAGTACTTTTCTCCTCATAACATCCTCAATCTGTGCAGGGCTCTGATAAGTACGACCCTGTTACCCTCCCCAGTGTAAATTGATAACTATAGGCCTAGTTCAGAATCTTGTAATTTTGCAAAATTATTTGAAATACTTTACACGTTTATTTTTGCCGCAACGAAAGAGTCATTGTCTATCGATCAGCATGGCTTTGTCGATAAGAAATCATGTATCACTGATCTGGCTTGCTTGTCACAAACGATTTGCGAAACCTTGGATGACAGAAGCCAGGTTGATGTCATTTATATGGACATGGAAAAGGCATTTGATAGAGTAGATTCAGGTATCCTATTGAAAAAACTGAGTTTGTTTGGGTTCTCTGAAGATCTTTTGTCGTTGTTTAACTCGTATCTTTGTAACAGGAGTCAATATGTTGATTATAAAGGATATCGTTCACCACTTATAAAGCCTACTTCAGGAATTCCCCAAGGCTCGAATCTAGGACCCTTACTATTTATCTTATATATAAACGATCTAACTCTTGACTTACACTGTTCAAATTTATTATATGCAGATGACCTTAAAATATACAACTATGTCAATACTATCGATGACTGCCTTGTCTTGCAGCAAGATATTATCACAGTGTCTTCATGGTGCCATGCCAATCATCTTAACTTAAATGCGGACAAGTGCTTTGCTGTCTTTCACAAGGAAATTAAACATCTTACATTTTAAATTCTACCTTGGACACGTTAAGCGTCAAAAGCAAATCGATAGGAATCATATTTGATCAAAAAATGTATTTTTCAACTCATATCGACACGACTGTTTGGTCGCCTAATAGGATGTTGGGATTTATCATGAGGAACGCTAGATAATTTTCTATTTCAGTACTAAATATTCTATATATAAGTTACGTACGTAGCAAGTTGGAATATGGTATCTTGAGTTGGTACCCACATTGAGCAACACACATTAGTAAGATGTTTAGAGAAAATTTTTGAAACATATGCATTTTAAGAAAACTGGTTTATTCTCGGAAAGAGGATTTGATTACTCTTTGCTGCTTAATGAAGCAAACTTTATTTCTCTTAACACACGACGTATATTTCTAACAACGAGTTTCTTGTACAAACTCATTCATGGGTACATAATATGTAAATTTTTGTTAGGTAAAATTCCATTTACCGTACCCAGGCGCAACACCAGAAAGTATTTTATTATGAATGCCCTAGAAAAAACATTTTAGCTAAGTCGCCTATTTCGATAATTTGTAACAATTTTAATTTGATATGTAACAGCTGTGACATCATTTTTCCCCCTATCTCGCTAGTTTATAGTTCTATTTTGCAGTTCACATTTAATATGTAACTTTTTCGGAATATCTTTTTTATATTATTCAAGTGTTTATTGTTATATAACATTAGTTATTTTTTCTTTTACATAAAACGAAATGTTCATTTGATTTTACGCATTTCCTGTTATTGGGTGCACATGTACCTGTTGGAAATAAATGTCTATCTCTCTATCTATCAGAGCTGCATATGTTTGTTTAAATCGTACATACTCTGTCTGGTTGAACACAGTTGAAAATCTAGACAGCCTCAAATGCTGCAAATTTAGGAAGAGGTAAACAAACTCGTATTTTTGAATCGAGCAACGACAATTTCAAGCAGTGTTTACAAACAAAACATTTGACAGGGCAGGGCTTGAAATTCCTTATCAATTGAATAATGAGTATTTTTCTTCAATTTCTTTTTTACGTTTTCGGTATTGTTTTGCCGCATATTAGCTTTGGTAGTGCAAACGTGGTTGACTCTGAAAATGAAAGTCCCAACGTATTGTCCATACTCGATGTTGTTCAGAGGAAGGTTGTCTGCATGATCGCTGACAGTTCTCTAACGGACAGTTTCTGGACACTTTCGCACAGACGGACGGTCGGTAATCGATGTCTCTCCTACTGCTCTGCCAAATGCCTTATCTCCTCTTGGGTGTCGCATTTGTGGAACAATCAACATACTTTCTAGGCATCTGCTTCCATTAAGTGTCTAAACATAGTAAGCCAACGAAATACTATTTTCCTGCATTTCGCGAGCTTACTGCAGCCAGGGTCGCAACACAGAAGCGTTTGGAAATATTACGACCTCTTTCCATGAGTCGTGTTACTTCAGTATTTGAAGTCCCCCACAAAACATATTCACTGAAGAAGGTTTAATTCCATGCTATTCAATGGCAACACGGTGACTTGTATGGTTGTCAGCGGTCATTTTTTGAGGGAGCGACATTGTTTGCCAGATTGCGCATTAATATCCCGCAACGTTGCCAGCTCTACATATAAATCTGAGATTGCTCTACGTATATATATATATATATATATATATATATATAGGGTGACTTTGAAGTTGAGTCATTAATTTTCAGATAATGACTCTAGAAGGAAGATAAACCAAAATATGTGTGTAAAAATAAAAAATTTACCTTGTTTTATAAAGTATCCTCCAGACAAGTATTTCAGTGCGGACCTGTATTTGATCGTGAGGTCTTGGAGCACCGGCATGCCCTCCTCTGTGAGGTCTTAAGTCACCTGATTCACGAGCCCGTTGTACTACATTAACAAAGGCACGAGGGGTGCTTGCACTCGATTGGGAAACCGATCCGCATAAACATGTGCCAATTTTTATTTCGTTTGAGCCACGCAGCAAACACCACTATTCACTCACGCGTTACCGACTGACATTGACTGAATAAAAACATCGTGATCAGCGTTTCAAATTCTTTCGCTTTTTTGTTTCCGATGCGATGAACCGATAAGGCGGATTATATACGTTGTTGCCAAACACGAGCACATAATATTATTATTGAGACAGGGCGGTACTCAAACTTCTAAAGGGCTATAACTTTGTTTCTTTAATTTTACCACAAAAATGTTAAAGGAAAAAAACATTTCTTTTCGAAGTCACCCTGTATATATATATATATATATATAAATATATAGAAATTTGGTGGGATATGGGAGATCTTATAACAGCATGTGTTATTAACATTTTGCGCTATCTTGACGAATAAATGCTTTTTTTGTATGTTAAAATAGCAACATCAATAACACAAGCTGTTATAAGATCACTCATATCTACTTACTAATCTGAAAAGGTTCAGAGGAAAAACATATTCTGCAAATACCTAAATATATATTTGTTATATAAATCTCATACATTTTTGTACAAACAAATCAGTATTAACATCATTATGGTCCAGATTTTTGCATTCTCCAGCCTTTGCTGGCACCTGCATAAATCAAAAATTAGAAATACACTGAATTGTGTTGATATGTTTCTACAATTCACAGATTTCTTTTTTTATTAGACGAATAACATGATTGTCCACAGGTACCCACAGGAAGTTTTCTCAGATGTGCTGATCATCATCAAGAGATAACTGTTACCACAGCCCCCCTGAGGGCACCCATGTTATTGTTCAATAACAATACTTGGCTTTGATTCAATTAAAATTCTAGTGAGCTTTACGTATCAACCCTACTGCTCTGACAATAGCTGATTTAAAACGAAGTATGAAAACTAACTTGGACAAAAAGTAGTACAAATCATCATTAGTTATGAGACATATAAAAACTTACAAATGTTGTGTTCTGCAAATATCCTTCAGAGCTGAGCCTTTTGGTTAGATCAGAAGTAATTTCTGAGCTTCTGATAATTCTCAGGACCTCTTGGGTTGACAACGGCACATATTGAACTTTTCGTGGTGCTCCACTGTTTATTCAAAGAGTGATGTGTAGATACAATCAGGTACGACATTCCTGAAATAAGTAACCGCTGCATCTCTGATCTTCCTCAGGATCTGCTAGAAGCCTGGCTAATGACTTGGATCACCTTAAAAAAGAAAGTTTTGATGTGGAGTTTGTCTTATAGTATTTACAAATATATTACTATTTACAAACATAGGTATTAGAGCTTGGTGTACTTACAATGATATGCTTCACAACTCCGAACAAAATGCATATGGCTCAAATAATAGGGACCTTGTTTAATTAAAATGAAAAGTTAAGAAAATGACATGCCAGACATGCTGAAAAAGTAAGGTTATTTTTGCAAAGCACAGAGCGCAGGAAGAATCCCGCCGGAAATTTAAATCTGGCCAATGGGACAACGTCAGTTGTGAATAAGTTTTTTGAGGGTGCAACATGGTTGTCATATTATGCACCAGCAACACTGCTTTGTTTCCCATTCACCAATATGAGTTTCACCCCCCTGAAGTCCTCTGTCGCTGCTCAGATATACTCTCTATGAATAATGATCCTGCCGTGTTGCCACATCATGAGAACTTTCCCACACATCGAGAATATTTCTAAGAATACGATTGTGATCAAACGTTTCATTTTTGTTTCAGATGACCACTCGGACTATGGGAGCACAGTCAGCGGCAGCACGGGAAAATCCCCGGGGCCCATTTTCCCGGCGCCCACTTTCACTTTCCCCGGCCAACCGCCACCCGGAACCGTCCTCACGCATAAAGCAGCCGTCTACTACCACCATCAACTTAGTTTACAGGAAGATCAGGGTATCGACATGACACAGGTAACCATAATATAAGTTATTTTTATCAAAAATACTATACAACTTGACCTCATCCCTCGCTTAATTTTAATACCACCACCTCCGCCCCCCCCCCCCCTAACCAACTAAAATAGGCATGAAAGAATACAGCTTAGGGTTGAGCATACGTAATTCACTCACAGAGAGATTCATTAATGGAATAATACGCTTTTTTAAGAAGCACTTTTTTATGCTTCTGTTCGTATAAATAGGTGTTCAATTATCTATTTCTCTCAGATAACTTATTATAGTGACTTGTGGTAGACTATTAAACAAAAAATTATATCGATGGAGCTTCTTGCCTCATCACATAATTTCTTGACCGTAAGCAAAAAAAAATTGCACAATACTTGAAAAATGCAGTGGATATCGTAAAGTGACAATATGCAATAATTACAGAATTACTCAATGAAAACGGGCATTCATGTGCCTGCTCTAGCGGAAAATTGTTACAGCTATTTCTTAATATAGAACCGTTTAGTTTCATTTTGCAATATTTTGCATCTGAAAGTGTATTTATATCAACGGCATTCTTACATTTCAAAATGTGTGTCACCTGATAAATAAGCCGAAAGTTCTATAAAAAATGTAAGCCTAAACTCACGCCATAATAATTTCCACACTTATGAAACAAAGTTTATGAATTCATGTCATCACTTGTGGACAATAATATTATGAATGAACAGCCCTAACCTCCACAATCTTGTATCTCTGCCAAATAATTTCAATATATTACGAATTTTCAAACGGAAACATATTATTCGCACCTTACCCAATAATAATAAAAATAGCCCGTCCCAAATTCTATTACTTCAGACAACTGTCTATTTCATTTCTATCCAAGACTTTTCCAGTAACAGTTTTGGATCTAGCTAAGGAACCGTTAATTCCAAAATAAACCGATGTTTGGTAGTTTGGCCCGCAGAATTAAAAATTGTAAGTTCTCACCACGAACTTCGATGACCTCTGTAAGTAAACGTTTGATAATAACGAAAATAAGATACTGTTGTTATGGGTAATTTTGCTAAAATATTATCTAAATAGTGACAGTTCATGGTATGCTGGAAGTCGAGAACCATTTAACTTTCGCCATTTTGTAAATGTTTAAACAGAATCGAGTACTCTCCACCTAGATGTAAGAGGAAAATACGTCCTCCACCCCTGCAAGCGACAAGCGAACATATTATTATCTGCTGTTTTGGATGTACACTTCGATGACTTAAAAGCTCGCCCTGAACCATTGTCATAACACAATGTAACGTGGAACATCCTGTATATTCTGTCCAACGACAAGTACTTTTGAAATGATAGATACCATTCAGACACTTCCAGTAGCAATATAAGTTCGGTGCTACCTGTCCAGATTTTATGTAATAATAATAATTAATCTGCTTTTTGCAGTCTCCTGGGAGAGACAGTCCAGGCTCTTCCAGTGGCAGTGCAGGATCGGGATCCAGACACAGTACTGCCTCTCTGGATAGCGGCAGGGCTTCATATCATCCCCTTAGCACAGCTGGCAGAAGTACCATCGGTTCCTCGAACAGTCCAAGATGTTCGCTGAGTTCGTGTTCAATAGGGTCAGACCAAGGCAGGATCGAACGGATGATACACCAAGGGGTTCCGGTAAGTTAGTTAAGCATCCACAATGTATCTATATATGGTCAAAAGTCAAACAGAATAATCTTAGAGGAAGCCAAAGAATAATACCTTGTATGTTTGCCCCATATTTTGACTGTGTATGCAGTCTAACCGACCCTGCATATTATTCTTTGGTGAGACTAAAATTTTCGATTCACCATCGAGGAACCATCTTGATTTCCCGAATTACCAGGCACACTTAAGTTTAACGAAAATGGAGGAACAACAGCACTTTACAAAGTAGGACACTGTCCGAAAAATACATAATTATTTCGTACCAAACAAGAGTAAGGAGTTCAGGGAGAATCATACTACAAATAGTTACAAGTATCACAGAATTGATAAGAAAGCATTAAATAGACAAGTCCTCAAAGAAATATTTACAATTGTTCAGCAATGTCATTAGCCTTACCACAAGAGTAAAATAGCGAAGAAAACTTTAAGATGTTTGTCAGGGTTGTTATGTTTTATCAAAATGTTTAAAAAGAGTGTTTTAAACACTGTGTAAAACATCGAAGGTGTTTTAAACCAATTTGTTTTAAACTATTTAAAACATGTTTTAAACACTTTGTTTTGTCGTTTGTGAATTATGAGTTTTTTTATATTTCTTTAACTTATTTTGCAAAACGAAACTAAAAGGTCCATAGGTTAAAACACATAGGTACTAAAATATACTTTATTCTTTATTAATTAATCAAACATGAAACTAGGGAACTAATGCTTAATAAACTGCATTGAACTCTAATACTAGTACACTACCAGCAGCAGAATAATCATATAATATGACTATGTATTTACTTGTATAATAACATTAAATAAGTTACTTAACAAATTTCTATAAAAGTATACAACAAAAAATACAATATCATAGAAAATGTACATAGAATAATTTTTTAGTTTTCACTACTTTTTACGGAACTCCAAGTAAAAAAAATTTAATCTACTTTTTCACGCTTTGATTGTTTAAATACTGTGACTAATTTTGCCGCTTTTTCTGTGCCCAATTTATTACTTATTATAAGTTTGGTGTGGAATATCCCAAATGAGGAAAAAATACGCTCAAGCCCAGCAGATGAAGCAGCTCCTGTATGAAGCTGCTGAACTAGGTCAACTGTAACTTCATTTAAGTTAACTTTCAAGGACTTCCACCAAACCAGTGGTGTGAAGCCTTTCAAATTGTCTTGAAATTAATAATACTTAAATGGTGATGTTTTTGCCTGATAACTTACAATAAAAGGCATCGCTTCACGAGAGGCATACTCAAGACCTTCTTCGCGTTGCTCTAGATTCAAGTCCTTGGAATCGATGATCTAGTATATTTACCGGATAATGTTTGTTTATCCAAATTTCTGTGCATTCGCTAATTGTACAGTCTCGTTGAATCTTAGGGCAATTGCTATTTGTTTTAACTTTACTAAATAGTCCTGTGCATTTAAATTTAAATTTAAATCATTAATTTTTTCCGAAATTTGACTATCAATAGCAGCTCGGTTTTCTAAACAAATTTTTGATAATATGTGCCTGTATGTGCTACGCCACTGGCAAAATGGGTTTCGACCATCTCCCGCAGGAGCGCGCCACCATCCAGCGCGCAGCCTACCACTGCCGACCGGAAGACCGTTGAATTTTGAACGGTCCAATGGGATGCCTTCCTCTCGGAGCGACCAGGAGAGAGGCCGGAAGAAGCTACCATTTTGACCATAACCAGAAAATCTGTTCGGTATAGACAATTTTTCAATTACGACAGTTTTCTCATGAAATGTACATACAATACATCAAACAAAAACATAAATGTAATCAATAAAATACAGTCCACTATACACAACATTTGGTCCAATCGACCCGGATAGCCAGTGAAACAAGCAAGTAAACAAGAAACAAGTTCACAAGTGCAGGCGGCAGGCAAGAATCCACGCCATATTCACAGAAGTTCAACGCAATCAGCAATACAAGTGGAAGACAGAAATCCACGCAGGTACCCATTTACCATTTCCTTGATTCAGTCAATATAGCGACAAATGCTACTTTGAATTTCGACTCGTATTACATGTGCAGGCATTCAACAGCCTAGAAAAGCAATATACTCTCAAGTGAGAACGTTTACTGGTGTCAATTTATGCCCAATTCATCAATTTCGATCATTTTTTATCGATACTCATTCACATAAAGCAATTACACAATGGCACAATCAGTTTTGATCAGGAAACGAGGCACAATCAAAGCCAAGTTGGCTCATTTTGAAAAATTCTTGAACAGCGTACAGCCTCAAGATTTAGACAGACAAACTATAATTCATATGCAAGAACGGTGTACTAAATTCGAAACCCTTTTTGACAGCTTCGATGAAATTCAGTCAGAAATTGAATGTGAATCAGATAATCCAGAAGCATGCTATGCAGAAAGAGAGGATTTTGAAACCAAGTTCTATCTTCAGCTCTCAAGAGCTAAATGTTTATTAGAATCACAAAGTAATCTCAGTAACAACATTCCTCACAACAATGATGATCACAATGATGACACTAAATCACAACAATCTGAATCTGATACGCAATCAATTTCAGAGCAATCAGTTTACACACAAGGTCAGGCCACTCATGTTATTCAGTCACAAAATGATGGCTTCAAACTGCCTGATTTAGATTTACCAAAATTCAATGGCGAATATGAGTCTTGGATGGAGTTTTGGGAAACCTTCGAGTCCATGATACATATGAATACACAGCTACACAACATACGTAAGTTTCACCATTTGCGGGCTTCATTAGCAGGAGATGCAAACCGTGTAATTCAAGAAATCGAATTTACAGCAGACAACTACAGCATAGCTTGGCAAGTTCTTAGAGACAGGTATGATAACAAACAGGTTCTAATTCAAAATCATTTACGTGCAATTTGCAACTTTGAGGGTTTCAGCACTGCTTCATCAGCAAAAATCAGAGAAGTATCTGAGAATCTTTTCAAACATTTAAAAAGTCTAACGGTACGAACATAGTGGAGCGACGAGGTTTCAGATTCAGATATCTGGTAGCGTCTAGAGCGTAGAGGCAAGAGGCACCTATGGTTATAGTAGAGCGTCGCGTTTTGTCGAAGATAGACGTAAAAATATGTATTCCGACAGTGACGATGACATTCTTCTCAATAATACTTACCTGCAAGTGCTTTTAATGACTGGAGTGCGGCAGTGTAGTGTGCACGACGTAAATAAAAGTCGGAAACGCCTAGGGGAATTCCATCATTTATTTCTAGAACTGAAAAATTATCCCGACAGGCTATTTGACTACATTCGAATGGAACTTGCCACCTTTCAGTATATATTAGAACAAGTTACACCCTGCATCAACAAGAAATGGACAAATTTTAATCAAGCGCCTATAGGAACCGAAGAAATGTTGGTGGTAACAATTCGGTAAGAGAATATTATGTATTAAGGATAATACTTTTATTATTCATAAACAAACAAACGGTAACGCAAAATAATATTCTGTCTTCTGAACACAACGAACGATAACTTATAATAACTTATAATGTTTACTGATCTGCGTAATTAAACCCCTGCAACAAATGGGATGAATGTGCAAACGATGTTTGTGGTTGAGATGTATATGTCGGGCTATGATTAACAGAATGACTGACATTGATGGTGGACTGATTGTTCGAGTACTCTTCATAGGCATACTTCTGAACCAAATTTTGAATTTCATTGCGGAACTGAAGTTTTCGATGAGGCCTAATTTTCACCACGTGGGGCAAAAGGCTATCAAAAAACAGTTTATCGTCATCTGTGACTGGTAGGGCTCTGCCACGGTCTGCAGCGACACGTTTCTCATCTAAATATTGTAGTTTTTTCTTCTCTATCTCAAGAAAAGCGTCAAGTTGATTTGACCGTTTTCGGGCCCTATTCTTTAGAATAGTTCGTGGTTCTTTTGGTGTGCTTTGAATTGGAGTGACTGATTCTGTGTGGTCGGGTTCTGTTTCCTGCGTTTCTACACCCTGCGTTTCGTCCATTTCGTCTTCGTCATAGTCACCATCATTTTCATCCATCTGCGTAGAGGGTGTCGAAACTTGTGTGTCATTGTCGGGATCCAACAGGTTGCTATGACTGGATCTCGGCAGAAACTGGTCTCTCAGAAACAATAAACTTTTGAAATGAGGCCAGGAGCTCTTTTTAAGAGCCTCTTCGCCTGGATCACCAGACCGGGGCAGAGGTATTTTCTTCAGTTCTTTTCTGAAATAATCACGTAGATTTTTCCACTTCTCAGAAACTTTCTTAACTGCAACAAACAAAAATTTTCAGATATCTTGCAACAGGAGCGTCCTTTAGACACTTGGCATTTTCCTTTCGAATGGGCAGGAGTACTGTTGCGAGCATTATAAAACATATGATTAAAATATTATGGAACATGCTGCAACCACTTCACATGCCAGAACCTACTACGGCAACATTTTTAAATGTAAGTGCAGACTTCATGAAAGTATGGAACTTCCCCAATTGCATCGGAGCTGTTGACGGCAAACACGTCAAAGTTATAGCACCACAACATTCCGGATCCATGTACTTCAATTATAAGCATTATTTTTCTATCGTCCTACAAGGAGTTTGCGACGCAAATTACAAATTGCTTGTGATAGATGTCGGAGGTTACGGCAAACAGAGCGATGGGGGAACGTTTCAGAGTTCCAATTTGTACAAACGGATACACCAAAACAAACTAAATGTGCCAAATCCAGATAGTTTACCAGGAACAAATGTCCGCGCTCCCTACGTATTTATTGCAGATGAAGCGTATCCACTAATGCCCAATTTGCTAAAACCATACAATCGAAGGAACCGCTCTTTGGAACATATAAATTTTAACCAAAGATTGTCCAGAGCACGCAAAACTATCGAGTGCACCTTTGGAATTATGTACGCGAAGTGGCGTCTTCTGTCCAAAGCTATAGAGACTACTGAAAAGACTGCGGATGATATCATTAAGGCGATATGC